ATGCTGCCCTCTACAGACTCCACCCCCCAAACCTCCAGGTATTTCCCTCCTTAGAGCTGGCAACCCTACATTCCCCTCAGTGCCTGTTGGTAGGCAACTAAGCTTGGTCCTGTCACCTACTTTGGCCTTTGGGAGAAAACACATTGGGGCCAGTCCTGATAGGGTTGCCAACTGCAGATGGGAAATTCCTGGAGACTTGAGGGATGGAGCCTGAAGAGGGTGAGGTTTGAGGAGGGGTGGGACCTCAGACAGGTACACTGCCATAGACTCCACCCTCCAAACCAGTCAGTCCCACATAGGGAACCATTGTTGCCAATCTCCAGGTGAGGGCTGGAGAGCACTCAGTATTACAACTGCTCTGCAGAAGGGAGGGCAGAAGTCAGCTGAAGTCAAAGGGGCAGATAATGGTAGGTTGATGGTTAGCTGGGAAGGAGATACGGTTGCCAATTACATGCTGACAAATTCCTGGGGATTTGAGGGGTGGAGCCTGGAGAGGGTGGGGTTTGCAGAGGGGTGGGACCTCAGACAGGTAGAATGCCATAGACTCCACCCTCCAAACCAGCCATTTTGTCCTGGGTAACAATTGCTGCCAATCTCCAGGTGAGGGCTACAGATCACTCACAATTACAACTGCTCTTCAGGTAGCAGAGATCAGTTCCTCTGGAGAAAACAGTGGACTCTGTCATTATACCCTGCTGAGGTCACCACAGCAAATTGACACTGTTTGCCCAAAGCCAGAGCACTCCCCCAGAGCCTCTTTCTAGATCCCGTTGTAATGCTTTCACAACGGGCTTTACTGCTAGTACAAAAATAAGGAGGAAGTGCAAACCAGATGTCATTTACTGGTGGAAACTCCAAAAGCATAAGGATGGTTTTAGTCCTGTTAACTCCCTCCCCTCAAATACAAATACACACACACCTAAGTAGTTTTAATTACGGTATTTGGCTACTAGTATTGCAATGGAGTATAAATAGCAACAAAGCTGGATTGCATGGAACTAGTCCCTATCTATACCTTGTGGCTAATAGCCACCGATGGACCTCTGCTCCATATGTTTATCTAATCCCCTCTTGAAGCCGTCTATGCTTGTAGCCGCCACCACTTCCTGTGGCAGTGAATTCCAAGTGTTAATCACTCTTTGGGTGAAGAAGTACTTCCTTTTATCCGTTCTAACCCGACCGCTCAGCAATTTCATGGAGTGCCCACGAGTTCGTGTATTGTGAGAAAGGGACAAAAGTACCTCTTTCTCTACCTGCTCTATCCCATGCATAATCTTATAAACCTCAATCATGTCACCCCTCAGCTGTCATTTGTCCAAGCTAAAGAGCCCTAAGCGCTTTAACCTTTCCTCATAGGGAAAGTGTTCCAACCCTTTGATCATTCTAGTTGCCCTTTTCTGCACTTTTCCCAATACTAAAATATCCTTTCTGAGGTGTGGTGACCAGAACTGCACACAATATTCCAAATGAGGTCGCACTATCGATTTATATAGGGGCATTATGATATTGGCTAATCTGTTTTCAATTCCCTTCCTAATAATCCCCAGAATAGAATTGGCCTTTTTTATTGCAGTCACACACTGTCTCGACATTTTCAGTGAGTTATCTACTTCGACTCACTCCAAGATCTCTCTCTTGATCAGTCTCTGCCAGTTTGGACCCCATCAAAATGTATTTATAGTTAGGATTTTTGCTCCAATGTGCATCACCTTGCACTTGGCCATACTGAACCCCATTTGCCACGTTGACGCTCACTCGCCCATCCTTGATAGATCCCTTTGGAGTGCCTCATAATCCTCCCTGGTTTTCACCACCCTGAACAACTTCGTATCATCTGCAAATCTAGCCACTTCACTGCTTACTCTAAACTCCAAATCATTAATGAACAAGTTAAAAAGCATTGGACCGAGTACTGATCCCTGCGGTACCCCACTGCTTACCACCCTCCACTGAGAAAATTGCCCATTTATACTCACTATCTGTTTCCTGTTAATTAGCCAGTCCTTTTATCCCATGATTTTTGAGCTTACTTAGGAAGCCTTTGATGAGGAACTTTATCTAAAGCTTTCTGGGAGTCAAGGTAAACAACATCCATTGGGTCCCCCTTGTCCACATGTTTGTTCACCCCCTCAAAGAACACTAACAGGTTAGTGAGACAAGATCTTCCCTTACAGAACCCATGCTGAGTCTGCCTCAATAGTTTTTGTTCATCAATGTGCTTACTAATTCTTTCCTTAATAACTGTTTCCACCAATTTACCTGGTATCAATGTCAGACTGACTGGCCTGTAATTTCCTGGATCTCCTCTGGAACCCTTTTTAAAGATGGGAGTGACATTAGCTACCTTCCAGTCCTCAGGAATGGAGGCAGATTTTAAGGAAAGATTACATACTTTTGTCAGGAGATCAAGTTCACATTTGAGTTCTTTCAGAACTCTCGGATGTATGCCATCTGGGCCTGGTGATTTATCAGTTTTTAAGTTGTCTATCAGTTTTAGGACCTCCTCAATCTGGCTCAGGTCTTTCAACACCCCTCCCGATCCTTTTACCCATTCGTCATCCAATGGCCCAACTGCCTCCATGGCAGGTTTCCTGCTTTTAATGTATTTGAAGAAAGTTTTATTGTTGGTCTTTACATTTTTCACTATATGCTCCTCATATTCCCTTTTTGCCTGCCTGATCACAGACTTGCATTTTATTTGCATTTTATCTGCATTTTATCTGCATTTTATTCTAATTTAATCAGACTGTCAAATATTGATAACATTGTGATGGTGAATAAGGAAACAACTTGAAAGTAACTTACATATTAGAAGAGCCACAAAAATTATCAACATGATCAACACAGACCAATCTTCACTTGAAAAGCATTCACCTATCAACACAGGTCAAATAGTAAGTTAACTAGCTATAACAACAGTCCTTCGGGGCTATGTTCAGACATCACACATCCCCCCCCCAAGCAAACCCACCACTTCTTTTTTGTAATTACCAAAAACTTTCACCACGCTGTTGGGAAAGTTACAACATACCCTAGATTTAAACTTGAGGTAGGGGCCCTTAAGTCTCAGGAAGGGAGCAGGTTCTAACCTGACGTATACTCAGTGGCCTCTTTGTCACCCTATGGGGGTGCATTTATAAAGATCTCTGAAGAATGAGTGCATGTGGCCTGTAAGACAGAGGATAAAAGCTGCAGGACAGAGAAAGGCATCCCTATGTGAAAAATCTGGGAGTGTTCTGGCAATACTTGTATCTCTCCCAGAGATGGCAGTGAACTATATGTGCAAGCAATAACTGTCTGTGTGCATCGAATATAAAAACAATAAAAACAACCTGAGAAATTACCTTAGAGTTCATAAATGGCTTATTACACCAAAAATGTCACTGAAAACTCAGGGGTTGAACACCTGGCGAGGCAAATTTGTCACTGCATACTTCATTGACTAGCTTAGCTAAACCCAGGATTCTTCAGCCATTACGGGTTTCTGAAGAAGTGTGCATACACACGAAAGCTTATATTCAGAATACAACTTTGTTGGTCTTAAAGATGTCACGGGTGTCAACTAGTTTAGCAAAACTAAGCAAACTGCATTATCTGTAATTACTGCTACTGGGAACGGCCTCTGTACTCTTCTTCATAACGTTTGCATTTCACATACCATTATTTTGTACTTTCTGAATTTCAGGACCCTTCGACCCTGCTCTTTAATTTTTTTGGTAACATATAAATATTTGTCTAGTGAGGATTCACTGTACACATCTGATGAAGTGAACTCTAGTACATGAAAACACTTGCTAGGATAAAAACCCATTCGTCTTTAAGATGCTACAGGTTTCCTGTTTAAAATTCTTGCTTCAAGAGACTAACACAGCTACTCCATCAATATTTCTGCAGTTAGTTTATTTCCTTGCAACTAAATTATTTAGTTCGATAAAGATGCATGACTGCTGTATTGGAATCTAAGAGACAGAACTAAAAGCCAAGGACCTTTTAAAGAAGGATCTTTTGGAAACAAAAGTTCCTATAAAGTAACTGTGGAGAGGGAGAGCTGGGAAGAAGGAAAGGTTGAAATTGAAAATCGCTTACATTAAAAATAGGCAATTTCCATTTGGATGAAAGACAAAAAAATCTGAAGTTGACATTTAAAGAGTCAAGAAGATTCCTCCCCCTTCCACCTCTATTGTGGCCAACCACATTAAAGAGAATTGCCAAAAATAAAAAAAAATTCCATCTTCCTGGCTTTGGCTTGAAAAGAAACACTTGCACTCTTGAGAGATTTACTTAGCCGTCCTCAGCCAGGCACTACCAATGATGAGTTATTGATTGAAGTGCTTAAAAATGCTGTGTGTGCCAAAAAGACTTCCTATAACATGCTGTTAATCAAGAACCAAAGGCAGTGGGGAGCGGATCTGATTTCAGAGTGCTATTCAGTCTAAAGTAGGACTAAGCTAAAATGAGAGGGTGCATTTTGTGAGCACTCCCCCTGCCCCTGGTGAAATGCTCCCCTCTCATTCATCAGTTTTCAGGTGGTGAGACTACTTTCTATGGGCCTTGTGGGGGAAGGCATTGAGATGTTGCAAAGAGAAACTGGCAGCAGTACTCCATTGGCAGATCCTTCACAAACCAAAGTGCTGTAGTTTCAGCATGCTTTTTTGATATCTTCCCGCATAATTACCCCCTTGTGGGGAAGGTCTGCCACCAACAAAGTGCTCCCACAACTTGTTATGCCATTGTTGAGTGGTGGGGCCTAATGTGTCCCTCCATTTTTGGGCTTTGCAAAGTCTAGCTATTGCAAGTAGAGTCAATACTAATGTGTATTTTGTTTTGTTTTCAGGAATATCTGTCCAGGCATCCAGCAAGGCTACTTCTGGTCTGAATGGTAAGTTAATTCCAGTGATGATTGTTATCTGCGTGTAAATATGTTGCCAAGACTGATTGATTACAGGGCAGAGCCACCAACAGTGGATGTAATCTGCTACTGATCAACATTTTTTCCAGCAGACTTTCTGTATGCTCAGATTGATTCTATGCAATTGGGCTGGATGCAGGTAGCATTGGTTCGAACCTTAAAAGAATTAAATCTAATATTGAAAATCTTTGAGGTCGCATTAGGGGATTTCCAAACATATTTCCAGTCTTTTTTCATCAGTCGACCTTGGCAGTCTAGTTGCTGTAGCATGTAAGATCTCGGACGGCTTTGTTTAGAGGGTGCAATTAAGAGTCTGTATATCTTTGAAATCAGTCCTTTAGCTTCACCGAACCGGCGTCCTACAAGTTCCTCAAATGTTGACATAGTCTCAGCCTGTTCCTTAGTAGTGGTGAAGTCTTGTAGCATGTGTAAGACCTGTAAATATTGGAACCAGGGTATCTTCATGGATATCTTGCTTTCCAACTCCAACTTTGTGTAGGGTTTCCCCTTGTTAGTCAAGTACACTAGTCTTGTGATGCCAGCACTTCTCTTGGGTTTAAATGCCTTACGCTCTCTTCCCAGCGGGAACCATTTTTGGTTTAGAAAAGAAGAAAATTGAGATCTGTCTGGTAAGAACCTCTTCCGGGACCTATCCCAAATAGTTAGAGAAGCAGCGAGAAATTGGTTGGTGAGAACCGGCTTAGGTCTGTCCTTTGGAGAGTTCCAAAAGATGACGGAGTCGGTCATGCACTCCTCTATTTGCTGCCAATTGGGCGGGGTTTTGCAATTCAAAATTCTCATTGTTGTGGCCAGGTTAGCAGTGCCATGGTAAGCTGACAAATCCGGTATGCCCAAACCTCCATCTGAATGATGACATTTTAATTCGGAGAACTTGATCCTCGACGTCTTGTAGTTCCAGAAAAAATTGTTAATTTCTGCTTGCCATTTGTTTAAAAGCCTTTTTTGAATCAAAATTGGTAGAGCACGAAATAAAAACAGGAATTTTGGCATAATAAAACTCTTTATCATGCTGATCTTGTCCGCCCAAGTCGGATTCATGCGGCTCCAACACTGTGTTTTGTTCTTAGCCTCCTCAAAAGTCTTTTCAAAGTTACATTTGATCAAGTCATTTAAATCCGGAGGTACACAGATGCCTAAACATATCCATGGCTTGTGAATCCACTTGTAAGGGAAGTTAGCTTGAAGTCTTTCTTCTGTTGACTGAGCTATCCGTAATGGAACAATTTGAGATTTATCTAGATTTACCTTTAGTCCTGATATGGCTTGTATGTCTTTAAAGATCTAATGGAGTTTCGAGAGAGATGTATCTGGTGCTGAAAGGAAAACCATACCATCATCCGCATACAAGCTAATTTGGAGGTACCTCTGACAATTGTTATACCTTGAATCTCTTTGTTATTCCATATAGCTGAAGCCAATGGCTCAATCGCCAGAGTGAAAATGAGAGGGGACAGGGGACAGAGGGATGGATCTACTCAGGACATTATTGGTAAGAATCTTGGCTGTTGGGTTTGCATACAAAGTTGCTATCGCCATCCAAAATCTCTCTCCAAAGTTCATGAAGTATAACAGTTGTTTTAAATAGCTGGATTCTATGCTGTCGAAGGCCTTCTCAAGGTCGACTGAAAGCATCAAGGTCTCCTGGTCATGCTTTTTACCATACAGGATTAGGTTTAGAAGGTGGCGAATGTTGTCTATTATTGCTCGATTCGGAATGAATCCCATCTGATCTGAAGAAATGTACTCTGATATTATTGCTTGCAGCCGATTTGCGAGTATCCTAGAGAAGATTTTAGAGTCGCAGTTTAATAATGCAATCGGCCTTTAGGCTTTCGGGGATTCCTGATCCTTGTTTTCCTTGGGGATCGGGACGATGTAAGAATCCTTCCATGAGGGAGGCATTTTTCCATGATCCAGTATATAATTACAGGTGTGAGCCAGCTGTTCCCCAATGGTGTTCTTAAAAGCTTTGTAGAATTCTGGCCCAAAGCCATCATTGTCCGAAGCCGTGTTTGGTTTCATCTGTTTAATAGTGTCGTAGACTTCTTTTAGGGAGATTGGGCTGTCTAGTATAGCACTGTGTTCTTCCGTTAGTTTCAAAGATATGTATGTGTAGAAAAGCCTTAACTGCTACAGAGTTTGGGTTTGAGGATGTACATAATTGTTCATAAAAATCAGCAAAAGATTCTGCTATTTCCACCGAATCTGCAGTGGTTTTGTTATGTTTTGACCTTAAAGAATATATTTTCCTCTTTCTTTGTTTTTGTTTGCAATGCCATGTCAAAAACTTGAGATTCTTTGGATTCGTCTGCCAATGTTGCTGTTTTAAGTATAAAATTCTGTTCTGAATATCTTGGGTTTGCAGAAGTTCTAGAACTCTACATTCAGCCTGCAGTTCCTTATATGTTGCTTTATTTCTTGTTTCTTTATGAAGTTTTTTCAGATCCTGTATTTTAGTGAGGAGAGTTTTAATTGTGTGTTCTTTTTCTCTTTTCAGATGTTCCCCCTCACGACCGCCTTAAAGGCGTCCCAAACGATATGTGGTTCCACCTCTCCAGTGTTGTTCTCTTTGAAGTACTGCTCCAACACTCTTTATATCTCTTCTCTGTGTTGAACTCTTAATAAAAGAGAATTATTTAGTTTCCACATCCGAGAGCCCCATGTTTTATTTTGTTTCAGATGCATTTCTACGTGGGCATGGTCTGACCACATCATGGGTCCAATGTCAATTTTTGAGGTTCTATGTAACAGGTCGGGGGGGGGCACTCTGTAATCTATACGAGAGTATGAACAAAATCTGGGAGAATAATAGGTGTAGTCCTGTTCTCCTGCATGAATTTCCCACCACACATCTTTCAGTTGGTACTTCTGAAATAATTCCACTAGTTTTGTGAACTTTTTGCCTACACACCTTCACTTAAGCTTGTTGCCTGATCTGTCTAGTTGGTAGTCTACAATTATATTGAAGTCACCCCCTACAATCATATGTCCTTCCTTAAAAACCTGTAATTTCGTAAAGACATCTTCCAGGAATTGTTCCTGCCCGTCATTGGGAGCGTAAATTAAGGCTAGCATAATTTCCTGTTGGTTTAGTGTGCCCTTTAAAAATAGATACCTGCCCTTGGGGTCTGCCATGCAATCTTTGCACTTGAAGTTTACTGTTCTTGAAACCATAATTGCTACTCCTCGTGACTTGGAAGAACCCCCTGCATGGTACTGTTGGTCATACCATGGCAATTTGAGAACCTTCGCTACCGTAGCTCGCAGGTGAGTCTCTTGAAGAAATAGCACATTAGGCTTGCTTTTCAAAATAAAAGATGTCATACGCTTAGCCTTGATAGGGTTAGTCAACCCGCGTACATTAATCGAACGAAATACAATCTCATCACTCATGTTAGCAATTATCAATTCCTAATAGGATTATACTAAATCAGTGTACTTAACCTCTGAAAAACCAGTTAGCTTAATATCCAAAGTTTATCAAACTATTCCCTAAATTATTTTTGTCCCCCCCCCACCCACATAAAACCAATCCCTTAGTAGTTCAATAAGGTTAAGTAGGGTGCCACGTGGATATACAAGAACTAAAGAAGTAAAAATAACAATGAAATGATAACAGAAAGTTAAGTAAGAGATCAGACTCACCCTCAGAAACTACCAACTCCCAAACCACCAGTTACTTCACTGGCATGCCAGAGCAAAGCTCTGCCTTTTGAGAGAGAACAAACAAAGGAACAAACCTGACTCTGTCCCTTTCCCCCTCTCCCCATCTAGAAATAAGTAAATGATGTCTAACATTTGCACTCTGTTATATCAATATTATAAGAACCCCAAAAGACACAAAGAACAGTAAAGCATATGTTATAACAGTGGTAATCATAGAGAAACTATAGAGTCAGAAGGCCCAAGTTTAGGATCCAGCTGGTGATGAGAGGACCGGGATCTTGCTGCTTTTTAGGGGAGATTCAAACAGTCTCTTGCGCTTGGAGGCTCTCTTCTCTTCCAGCTCCATGGGAGTCGCATATTGGAGGATGGCAAGTAGATCAGCCCCACTGTCTTCGTCCCATGCATATAGCTGTTGGCCTTGGTACGCTACATACAGTTTTCCGGAAGGGAGCCATCGGTACTTTTGTTTCAAGCTTTGCAGCTTAGTTATAACAGGCTTCAGCTTACATCGTATCAGTATGGCCTCTTTAGGGATATCAGGAAACACCTGTACAGGTTCACCTTCAAATTGAAAAGTTCCCACATTCTTTGCTGAGTGCATTATTGTGCGGCAGACTCTCGCATCTGGGACCGTTATTAGCATGTCCCTTGGGAGTGGGCGGCGATTTTATGAGGGTCCCATCCTACATGCTTGGGTTATGGTTGGGAACACCCCCTCCTCCAGAGCTAATGCAGATGCTATAAAGGAGGCCATAAATGCAATCAAGTCTTTATTTTTTTCAGCCTCCTCCCGGATGCCTCTAAATTTCAAATTCACAGATTTTCACCTCTGACTCTGAAGTTATTAAAGAGTCCCTCTGTATGTCAGAGGCATCTTGCAAGGCTTTTATGTGTTCCTGGTTTACAAACCCCAAGTCCAGAGCAGCTGTTGCTTTCTGGGCCGTGTCCGTGAGAGTGAGTTTTATTTCTTCAAATTGGGCTGCTAGGTTTGTCATTTTGGAGGACAGGCTTACCTCCATAGCCTTAAGGTGCATCAAGATTTCCTCTGCTGCTGGGAAGCTCTTTGCTTTCTCTGCACTTTCAGGTGCGGCCACCATCTTGGAATCGGCTTGCTGGGCCCCAGGACAGCGAGCGAAGCCCCCAAGGTGCTCTTTAATCGATTTCCCGGCCATTGGGGTGAGCTTAGGTTTTAAATGTTTGTTCTTCCCCATTCTCCAGTGTTTGACGATGTTTTTTAAAGCGTTTGGGGTTGCAAAGGGACGGGGAGGGTCGGGAGCAGCAGAATCACACGTCCGTCATTGTTCACAGTGGTGCCACGCTCCCGTTTCAGCATGCTTTTTGGTTTAAAATAGCCTTTTAGTAACAGAGACAGGGGTCTTTGCAGCTGACACCCCACCCCCCAGCAATGGCTCCAAAGCTAAAGCCAACCAAGGAGACTGACATGGAAAAGGTTAGCTAAGAAATGCTTTTTTGGGAAACAGCCCCAAAACAGAAAGGGGTCATATCTCCAGGGCACAGCACATGCTTTGCATAGAGAAGACTGCAGGTTCAGTCCCTTGTACCTCCAGCTGAAGATGCACCACTGATAGGCAGAGTAAACCATAGTGGGCTAGAAGGACCCCATCAACTGACTTGGTATTAGGCAGCTTCATATGGCTCTTTCTCTATGTACAAAAATGTCCACTGGAGAATTCGGTTCAGCCCTGATCTGAACCCATCCAAGGATGATGCAGCATCTTTCTTGGGTTTTGAATGAGCAGCCCATGGCCCATGCAATCAGCTGCTCTTCCCAGGAAGCGTGTACTCTCATGTGCAGCACTTCTCAGGTGTGATGTGCCTAGTGCTGGACGGCCTGGGGAGATTCAGATACAAATTGCTATTTGCCATGAAACTCACGGGTGACCTTGGACTACTCATCCCCAGACAAATGTCACTTGCAGGACTGTTATGATAAAGTGGAGAAAGGGACGATCACACATGCTGCTCTGAGCTCCTGTCATTTAATCGTTAACAACTTCTAAGGTATATGATGTTTCGCTTTGTGAGCAGGTTCTGTGGAAGGGTGTCATAGATACCTTTTAAATACATAAATCAGGGAGTCCTCAGTGTGGTGCCCGTGGCGGCCATGGTGCCTGCAAACACATTTCTGGGCACCCACCAAGTGTTTTTAGAAAGGGGTGGGGCCAGGTGTGGCTCTTTGCCCAACGGGCCTCCTGATTGGTCACTGATGATCCCATTGACTATGCAGATAAAAATAATTTTGTTTCAGCAGCCACTACAGTGTTTGCTTTATTCTCTCTCACCTCGATGTCCCAGTGTATTTTTGAAGTACCCCTCTCTTCCCATGCACTTGGGATTCCTCTGAGAGCGTGGCTCTGCCTTCTGTGGCAGCCACTGTGTGGTTGTGCTGTGCCCACCCACCCCTTGTCAGAATTCCAAAGGTGGCCACAGGCTAAGACAGGTTGGGGACAAGGTCGCCAACCTCCAAGTGGCACCCGGAAGTCTCACGCTATTACAACTAATCTCCAGACGACCAAGATCAGTTCCCCTGGATAAAATGGCTGCTTTGGAGGGTGGTCTCTATGGCATTATACCCTGCTGAGGTCCCACCCCTCCTGAAACACTGAACTCCTGAGGCTCCACCACCAAAACCACAAGGTATTTCTCAACCTAGAACTGGCAACCTAAGTTGCGGAACCCTGACATAAACCGACAGAACGTCAGTGGAATACCTGTGTCACTGATATAATTCCATGCTGCTAGTGTACCCTCATTTGTCTGCAAGGGAACCCCATTAGCATCAATGGGCAGTTTATTCCCTTTTAAGCAGTTCTCACAGTCTTTAGTTGGACAGAACGGAAATGGTATAAGTCACAGTTATACAGCCAACTGCTCAGCTGTGACTGTGTCCTGTGTCCCTCAACATGCCTCTTTTGTGGAGATGTCAAGCAACACGATGCTGAGAGCTACAAATGCAAGGACCACACTGCCTTCCAGAGCAGTGCATGAAGCTGTCAACACAATCTCCACATTACACTCCACCAGCCCCGTAGCTAGGGAATTTTTTTGGAGGGGGCCTCAGGGGGCCTGCCAGCTAATTAAATGAAAGTACCATGCAGGTGGTAAGTTGGAGCACTTTAAGGGTAGCCCAAGAGGGAGGGGGCCCAGAAGAAACACTAGGGGGCCAGGCCCCATAGGCCCCATGTTAGCTACGGGCCAGCACTCCACACATAGACCCCCCACAAAAATGGACCCGTGAGCTCACCACACATATCCTCCCAACACGGCTAAAGATGGCATGTCCTTTGCTGTCTGACTCTACAGCCTTCTCAGTGAAGAAGAAGTAGACCTTGTCATTTTCCCAATCATCATTGTCTGGGATCAGATAAGCCGCAACAAATTTAGGAGCTGTAATAAAGATTGTAAGGCATGTTAGAAAGAATGACACCAGAAAATGTTTGCAGCTAAGCACAGATCCTAAAAAATACTTTTTTTTTTTTACTTTTGCAAACTTTCTATAGGCACAGTTGGTGGAGCTACTGCCAATGGAGTGAGCACATGAAATATCCACTTATTAAGGGATCAACATCAAAAATGTTGCTAATTTTCCTTTCCATTGGCTAACTTTTGCCATGTTTCCTGGTTTACTCTGCTTAGCTGTTGGTTGTTTTGCCCAGGTATTGTTTTAAGCAATGTATTAAGTCCCTTTCTAGAGCCATGTCAATAAAAAAATGGGGTTTGAATACCTTAAATAAATAAATATCAATAACTAAAAGAGGCTTTGTTGTAAACATATCCAAGAACCCATTCCTCATAACCTGACCTGCCTGCCATCCCATTCCTAATTCCACTGATAAGCATTTCCTTGCTTTCACAATTGTGTGAAATTCATTCACCACTGCTAGACTGAATGGAGCCTCCTTCCCAAACACATTAAGCTCTTTCCAATCCATGTTTGCCATGATTTGCCCAAAT